TGTCTGGTAAACAGTAGTTAATAATTTTCTCACCACGTGGCGTTAGTATACATGTACACTTCTCGCATATGCAATATCTCGAGATCCTGATCAGATAGAAAGTTGTTCAGGAGGTCAAGGTCTTTTGGCTGATGGACAGTAGTTCAGAATTTTCTCACTTCATGATGTTAGTATACATGTGAAATTCTCGCATATAAAATATCTCACGTTCTTGACCAGATAGAAAGTTACTGTCTTGAACAAAGTTGTTCAGGAGTTTAAAGCCTAGAGCCTAGACAATTCTAAACTATTGTTCACCAGCCAAAAGGCTTTGACCTCCTGAATAACTTTGTTGCAGACAGTAACTTTCTATCTGATTAGGATCTCGAGATATAGCATATGTGAGAAGTGTACATCTATGCCACGTGGTGAGAAAATTCTTAACTACTGTTTACCAACCAAAAATGCTTGGACCTCCTGAACAACTTTGTCGAAGACAGTAATTTTCTATCTGGTCAGGATCTCGAAACAAACCATATGCGAGAATTTCGCGTGTATACTAGCGCCATATAGTGTGGAAATTCTGAACTATTGTTCACCAAGCAATAGGCAAATATCTGGACTTCCTGAAAAACTTTGCCGAAGACAGTAACTTTTAATATGGTAAGGATCTAAAAAATTTTTAAATAGGCGAGAATTTTACATGTATACTAGTGCCGCAAAGTGAGAAAACGCTGAACTACTGTCCACCAACGAAAAGGCCTTGATCTTCTGAACAACTTTGTCGATGACAGGAATTTTCTATCTGGTCATGATCTCTAGATATATCACATGCGATAATTTCACATGTATTCTAGCGCTACGTAGTGAGAAAATTCTGAACTAATCTCCACCAGCGAAAAGATTATGATATCTAGAACAAATTTGCCCAAGACAGTAATTTTCTATCTGGTCAGGATCTCGAGATTTTCCATGTTGTAACCAATTAAGTCAAATCCCACGTAGTACGGACACCGTTTACGCGGATTCCATTCACATTTTCTCAATTATCCGCATTTTTGTGGGTTAACTGTGATAAAATTTTAGCTTGTTTAGTTAAAAACAAGTTTTTTTTAATTAATACCCGTTGGTTTCATATCGATTGGTAGCTCGGCTGCAAAATGGCAATGGAAAACTCACACTGTTGTACAAAGTACAACGCGTGAGTACTCGTGTTATAAAAGTTGGCGCGAGTAACGGAGGGTTAAGAACAGCATTGACTATGTCAGCATCAGACATGACATCGAATTCCGCATTCTCGTCGTCATTTTCGCCTGCAGCCGTTTTATCAGCAACTATCAGTTGAATTGTTACACTATCATCCCTAGAGCACCGGAACTAATATTTGCAATGTTAACATTTCAAAAATATTTATGGCAAATGGTTGAAATTGATCGAGTGCGTCAAGTTAGGAACCGCGTCAAATATGGTGCCTTCACGCCTTGATTTTTAGCCAAGCTCAACTTTGTCTCTACACACTCGTGAGAGTCGCGAGACTACGATTTTTCTCAAGTTGAGGGGTCCCATGGCGTGGTTAGCTACACGTTCGCTTCTCAAGCGGATGGTCCATGGGTTCAATTCCATTGATCTTCTTATCGAATTTTGATGTATTTTAATGTGCCTCATGATAGGTTATTATCCAAGTCCGATTCTGGTCACTTCCAGGGGTACCTGGAACTTGTCCGGAAGTGGCCAATATGGTCCAAGGTTCTTAATTTTTTCCACCATTGATCTGGTTATCGAATTTTGATATAATCTGATGTGTCGCATGATAGGTTATTATTCAAGTCTGGTTCTGGCCACTTTTCCGGAGGCACCCGGAACTTGCCCGGAAGTGGCCAATATGGTCCAAGGTACTTAATGTTTGCCACCATTGATCTTGATATCAAATTTTGATTTAATTTGATGTGTCGCTTAATGGGTTTTGTTCCTTTCAAGTCAAATTTAGCCTCATGGCCCATAAACGCCGGATCTTGTTCTGGCCATATCTACAAAACCAGTGGTCCGATTCCATAATCCTTCAATAGTGTTCAATGGGACCACTAAAAACATTAAATGAGACCACATGAGACCAAAAAAAAAAATTTTTTTTTATGGCTCGATTATCCGGAGGGCTCGATTATCCGGAGTGAAATTTTTTACAAGACTCCGGATAATCGAGTCCGCCCTGTACTACAGACATTCACCCATATTCTTAACTTTTTTTTGTATGGAAAAAACGGTTCGAACGAAAATAAGAATATGGGTGATTATTGCAGTTTTGGTTGATCTAGTAGAACAAATCAACTGATGTCCAGGACGATTTGGAAAACCTATAATTTCCGGTATACGTAGTAATAACAACAATCAATACGAAACTAACGATTTAAAATTGGCTCACTACTTGACTAGTCTATTGGTCCCAAGCAAACGATTAACGTACCCCATTATAGTCGAAATTCTACTTCTACACAATGTTTGTTTTGATTCGCTATGCAAGTTTGACAGATAAAATGAGGGGTTATTGGTTTTTCCTATGTTTCGAGGGGTGAATCGATTAGCTTGGGACCGAAGAGAGTACCAGAGCTGAGCCAAAAAGTTGAACATGTTATTTCAGGACCTTCTAGTCTTAGAGTTACCTCTATGGTAATAACATAGAGGTAACTCTAAGACTAGAAGGTCCCGAAATAACGTGCTCAACTTTTTGGCTCAGCTCTGGTACTCTCTTCGGTCCCAAGCTAATCGATGCGAAACATAGGAAAATCCACGAACCCCTCATTTTATCTGTCAAACTTTCATAGCGAATCAAAACACACATAGTGTAGTACTAGAATTTCGATTAGAATGGGATACGTTAATCGATTTGCTTGGGACCAATAGGCTAGTCAAGTAGTGAGCCAATTTAAAATCGTTAGTTTCCACCGGTTGGTACACACTTAGAAATTATTACCGTATTCGGTAATTTTTTACCGAACTTTCAACAGCTGAACGTTCGGTAATCAGTTCGGTAAACGAAATGACAACCGAACGATCGGTAAACAGATTGTTGATGAGCTGTCAAAACTACCGAACAAATTGGTAACTTTTTACCGAACGATTCAGTAATTTTTTACAGAAAATGAAATTTGTCGTTTTTTGGAAATTGTTTTTGGTTCTTTTTCGGTGGATTAAAATTTAAAGCTTTTTATACAATATTATTTGTGAGATTTTATTTAAAAGTAATCGTATATTATGATAGTAAGAACATTGCTCGCTGGAGTCTCATTTTTGTAGGTGACTGCTTTCATGCCGATTCCAGTACAGGAACATTGGCTGAAACCTGATCCCGACAGAAAAGCACAGAATTCCTGGTTGTTATGTCTGAAAAACGATTGTAAAAATAAAAGAAATTGGTATAATAATCCTTTTCTGATGGAATAAGTTAAGTTAAGTTTTCTTTATTAAGGAGGCTTTCAGTCTGAGGCTGGTTCACCCGGTTCGCCTCCGGTTCTGACGGAATATTTAATAGATGTATTATTCATGCACCTGTATCTGGCAGCATACCTGCACTGTTTTCACTGGGTTTTCTGGTTGATTTTCACTGGTACTGTTCACTCCAACACTTCATATAAACTTGACCGTCTTTCGATTTGACAGTCTGGAATTAGTTACAGAAGTTCGGTAAATGTGTTTGTAATTTGCAGTTTGTTCGGTTTTTTTTACCGAATTCGGCATTTGCCTCGTTTTACAGTTCTAACTGTCATATTTTTTACTGAGTTCGTCAATACAATACCCAGATTACCGTCATTTCGGTAAAACATTACCGAATGTTGGTAATATATATTTTTTACCGAAAAATCTGTATTATTATTCATTTATCAATTGTTTTCGGTGAAAAATTACCGAACAAAGAAAACGTCGCTGAGTGTGTAATAAGCGTGCATGATCCACAAAGTCACATATATACGATTCGGTTATGATTTGACAACAAAAAGTGCTAGGTTCATATTCGAAATAAAAAAAAAAATTTAATAAAAAAGTCACTATTGGACAGACCCCAATGAACAACCGCGACGTGACCAACAAGTGTGACTTATGAAACTCTGGTAATTCCTCGATTATGTGCAGGGTGTTTGGTTTGAATCGGTAAAAAATTGAGAAAACTAGAGCCAAATTAACTACAACAATCCGACAAAATAAAAAGATTTACGTAATACCGTGGACCCCCGGTAATATGACCGGTTTTAATCTGAACACTTTTTAATTTGAACCCCGCTTATCTGCACGGCGTGCAAACTAAAAATTGCCTAAACGTCATTTTGTACATGGAACGGAGCTGAACGGAGTAAAGAGAAATGGAACATTGCAAAACGGAACGCAGAATCAAAACAAAACAGCAAATAAGGCAACCAGAAACACGCTGATAGGGTTACTAGAAGTTCAAATTAAAAATGAACCCCGTTAATATGAATGAGGTGTCGTTCAGATTAGCGGGGGTTCACGGTACCTGCCAATTTTGAAATATGAGAGTCGCAATAAGCGATTTTGTCATTTATTTCACCCACTCTACGTGAAGAGGCGATCAGAAAATCAAATCTAAATTTGCAGGTTTTATGTATCAAACACAAATTTACAATCTTTTCTTTTTACTTACACATACAGACTATCATCATAATATCTTATTATTCCATTATTTCATAAAACTTCCTTTTTTAGCCAAAATGAATGGAAGGCACCCTGTTTCTAAGTGCGGAGCTGCCGCCGGTGGTTGAGTGGTAAGCGTGACTGCTTTATCACCCCAGTGTGACTGGGTTCAATTCCATCGTTGGGAATTTTTTTTCTAAGATGTCTGTGTTGATAGATTCGATAGGTTCCAGGTGTGAAAGTCGCCTCCCATCCACTCGATTGCGGAACAGAGTCCAAAGACGTTAAAATAAAGGAAAAAACACGATTCCTTTCCTGCTTCAAGGGATGAGAGATACATTCGTTGATTTGTGATATCAAGCAAATCTTCTGAGGCCAAATTAGGAAAATTAGATTTTCTTTATTTCATCTCCTTCCGTACACAAAGGCTTCTTCATTTTCTTCTCCTCGAATCTACCTAATCATGTTATCAAGCTAGCTCTACATTTCTAGATCCTATAGTTTTCTCTTGTATCTCATGTGTTATCGTCCAATATACAGATATACGTCCTGGTTTGCATCATCCTCGCCGTATAAATGATCTCTCCCATCTTTTGTTTTCACTTAACGTCTAAATCGTGTTTTCTTGTATCTTCAATGTATTTTTTGCAGTGTTTTCTTTCGTTTGTAGTAGGGTAATGTAGTTTTCTTCCTTCGCTAGAAATTTGTCGCAAAGTTGCATATTACGTCAATATCACCTTTATTGAGTATTTATCTTTAAGAATAGAGCAGAAATATATGTACAGGTAAGAGTTTTCGTTTTTGTCTCAAATATTAATTTTAGGCCCATTCCCTCTCCGTTCCGTGTTTGTTTGCCATCGGTTCCGGTTGGGGAGAAAATTTGAATCACTTTGTGTTTGTGTTGGCATTTGCATTCAACGCTTTTCAAGACATACTAGACATTCCGCTGAGGTCTCCCAAGGTGGGACCCCGTCCCTGCCACACAAAGTGGCTTGAGTAATAAATAATTTCCTTACTCTCCTCCTCCTTCTCCTCCTCCTCTAACTTCACTATAAAAGGCTCGTGTTTGTTCAATAAATTAAAAGTTAATTCACTCTGGCTTCTGGTTCCTAATCGATCGATCCGCGCTTGGTTCAGTATTCGTACTCGTATTCGTATCGCTGGGCTGGAGGGCCCCGTACTTGGCTGACGTACACCGATGGCTGATGTGCTTGGTAGTGGCCGAAGGTGGACGGAGGTCGTACAGCCGCTCGCCGAAACTCTGATGGGGCGTAGCTGGGTTCGAATGGGACGAATTCCGAGTCGGAACTCTGGTGCATGTAACGGTTGCGGAAGAAGGACTGCGATGGTGCACTTCGTGTTAGCGGTTTCAGGGTGGGATTCAGAGCGTCATTCAACGTGACATCGAATTCTTCGTCGTACAACTGATCCAGGGTTTTTACGCGGTTATCGCTGGGTCGTAAGGTACTGGTGCGAGTGTCCAGCGTAGAACTGCCGACGTCAATACGGAATGGTGAAGGTCGTTCGGATTCGTTGTTTGGCAGTGGCAGTCGCTGTTGAGTTTGGGCTTGCTTCGCTACACCAACCGGTTGAAGTCCTCTGGCGGCGTAGGGGTTGCCCCCACGGCTCGGAAGAAATGGACGCTTCGTTGCACGGGTGATAGGCCTCGGTGCATCCACAGGGTTGCTTTCATAGTCTCGATTGTTTTGCGGTGCAAGAGGTTTTCTACTCTCTACTGGCGCTGGCTGCTTCTTGATTTTGAAGTTGTTGTAGATGTTGGCGGGTGGCTTTGGAGTGTTAGGTTGTCTGGATTTTGGTCGCTCTACCGGTTCGTCGGCAAGGTATTCCGGTCTGGAGACTCTCTGGGAAACATCGCTGTAATCTGGTTTGGTTGACCGTTGAGGTTGCCGGATTTTCTCGTTGTATCGATTGGCCAATTCGGAGTTATCTCGACTGTTGACCCTCTCCATACCATCCGGCTTTTTCACGTTTCCCGGAATCTGTTTCTGCGGAAGGGATTCCTTGGGGACAATCACATCGTCATAATAGACAACATCGGAGGAGGCACTCTGCCTTTTGTCTTCGTTGTTTCCGTTTCGTCCTCGATTACCAACATCGGTAGTCTTCCGCTTATCGACTACCGGTTCGGGTTTTTTCGGTTCATCTTCATACTCGTCATAGTACTCCGGTTCAGGTTCGTTAAATGGGGCTGGCGTTGTAGGTGGCTTCTTCTTCGGTGGTTCTGGATTGACGTATGAATATTTGTTTTTTTCGTTCAAAGGAACCGGCCGGTTGATCTTTGGAGCAGCTCGTGGTCTATCGTAGATCGTTGATCCGGATGGTTTGACCGTCACCGCATCACTTTGTGGACGCGATTTTTTTCCCGGCCTTCGCGGACTGTAGTCTTCGTCCTCGTCGTCGTAGTCGAATCGTCTATCGTCATTGTATGGTCTTCTGCTTCCGCTTCTATCGTCCGATGGTCTCCTCTTAACTTCGTCTCCCGAAAAGGACCGTCCATCGTCGGTAACCGGTCTACGTTCTGGGACTTTTTTTTCGTCAGTTGCCGGTGGTCTTCTTCGGCGCTCGCTTTGCGATGGTCGTTTTTCCTCTTCTTGAATGATCGATCGACGATCTTCGTCGACAACCGGTTTGCGTCTGTCTTCATCAACGGGTCTTCGATCTCGATCTCTCCTTCGGTCATCGTACATAGCATACCGGCGGTCATCGTCTCCATTTCTTCTGTCATTGTTCCGGTTCCGGTTCTTCGTTCGATACATTCGCCGATCTTCGTAGTCTTCGTCTTCTACGTCGCGGTCTCTTTCCCGTTCCCGATACCGATCGGCAGGTCGTCGCTCCAAGCGGTCATCATCGTCGTAGTCATCTTCGTAGTACGGGCGCCTGTTCCGTGGGCGGTTCTTCCTGCGGCGTGTGCGCTCCTCGTAGTAATCGTCCTCGTATTCTTCGTCATCGTAGTAGTAATCCTGTGGACGTCGCCGACGCACCGGTTTACGCAACGGTTTCGGCCTAGATGCTTCCGTTGTTGGCGCAGCCGTTGTCGGAATTGTGGGTGGTGGCTTCAGCGTTGTAGTCGTCGTTGCTTTGTACAGAGGTTCATTTCTGGAAATACAAACACATGTTATGAATTCCAACCCATTTGGAAATGGAAATTTGCGATCCGGAGCGTACCTAAACCAGTATTTGGGTGAATTTTTGCAGTCAACTTCGGAGGCAAATTGGCAGATGAAGGTCTTCTGATCGAATGCCGTGTAGTTCGGACACAGGAAGTTATATCGCATTCCGTTGATGCAGTGGTGGTACAGCTGAAATAACAGAAGAGTTTTTTTTTTAATTTGTCAACGCATTTCGTAGAGAATGACTCGTCTCATACCTGGCAGTTATACTTAATGGACGCGTAGAATCCATCGTGCAGTTTGGGATCGCAGTCGAATCCGATTTCCTCCTCCGTCGGGACCGAGTCCAAGAAGGGGTAGCTGGACAAATTGGCCCTGTTTGGAAGAAGAAGAAGATTTATGTCAGATAGCATGATTTCAGTTCGTAACTTATCAGACAGACTCACCCTTTCAGTTCTCGTGGCAGATTGGGATCCCACACGTAATCCACCTGTGGAATGCCAGTAAGTGGCGGTTTGGTGCTCACATCTTCACCTTGATCGCCAGACTGTTCATAGAGCGAGAGAGAGAAAGAAAGAAGAAAGCAATGGTAAATAAAAAGTGTGAACATACGAATTAGGCACGTCGCGAGCTTTGGCGCAGTCAATCGGACCATTTCGCATCGTTTGGTATGGGAGACGTGTATGGACCTAAATACGACGGCAGCAAGAAAGGAGGAAAGCAGCAGCAGCAGCAGTTCGAATACGTAATCGAAAATAGCAATTTGAATGCAACAATATCGATAATTGCGTTAGAGGTGGCAAGGCGATAAGCGTTTTTCACCGTAGAAAAGAGAAGGAGAAATGCAATAAATCAGTGGAGAAATTTCGTTTCCACAAGTGCATCGCAGTTGTCGAGCATGGTAAGCTGAATGTTTACTAACTATGAGTGCAATTCAGTTCTTCTGAATAAAACATGTGATTACATTTTGAACTTTGCCTGCAGATCTGAAGCTTTATCGAAGTTTTAAAGCATTCTCTCATTCTAAATCATGGTCAACAGAACTTGGGTGGCAACTACCTGGAAAAAACCTGGAATTATCAGGGAATTTAAAAATGCCTGGAAAACCGGGAAATATCAGGGAATTTGGCCATCAGTCAGAGAACTCTCAAACTGATTGTTCTATTGTGTTGTTGGTGAAATGCATGTTTGAATTTGTTGATTAATTATATAGTCCCGGAGTCTTAATAGTCCATAATTGTGTATACTATTTTAAATCAAATGGTTAAAAAAGTTCTAAAATTAAAAAAAAATATGACCGGGATCTTGAAGTTTGAGACATTGACTGCCCCCTAGACCTAGAGCTGGCACACCCTAGAGAATTGAAGAAATAAATACCGGAGCAATCTATTTTTGCATCCCATGAAGGAATTGCGATATTTTTTCTCCAGATTACCTAAAGTAAACTCTGCTGTGACTTTGAATTTCTCATTAGTTCATCTTGAATTCACTTTGTTGCTGCACGCAAACGTCTCATATAAACATTGAATCTCTTTATTCGTTTTGAAGATATGTCTTAAGTTCGAATACATTTGAAATTCCGAGGGGGACGACTCTATCTACGTTGCAGGACAGATTGAATTTTGCTGTGGCTAGCTGCGTGCACGCTGAATAGATAGAAAGAAGATTAATGACGATTCTGAAGATTTCCTGCAAAAAGATGCAAGTAGATGGAAGTAGATGCAAGAACTGAAAGAAGAGTTTTCGAAGATTGATTCGCTAGTGTGAATTTTTTTGAGCATCTAGTATTGAGATTTAGATGTGTCGCCCCCCTCGTGAAATTCTGTGAAGAAGTGTTTATGATCTACAGAATAATACTGAATAAACCTTTTAATATTTCAACAACTTGAAAAACATCCAAAGAACTTTATTGAAATCATATTGGAAATCAGTGAATATCAACAAAGTTCTGTAAAATTTATACGAAGGTTCCTGTACTTCTAAAGTTTTTTTAATTCAATTTCATGAACTCAAATAAAGCTCCCTGAACATCTTCCTAATCCATTTATCTTATCCCTGAAACTCTATGAAGTTCCCTAAATTTGTGCAAAGTTCTGCGAATTACTAGAAAGCAGCGACACTTCAACGAAGTTTTCTGAACTTATACGATATGTATAGCTTACACAAACTACAACTACATTTTAACCAAGATTGCTGAACTTGTAAATATTTGCTATGTTTCATTCACTGCAATAAAACAAACTTTCATTAACTTCATTGTACATGTTCTCCACTTTTACGAAGTAAAAAACATATTCGAAGTTCTCCGAATTGATTTTAGATTCCAAGAATTTCTACGATTTCACTTGAACATCTTCAAAGCCACTATATAGTTTAAAGAAACTCAATGAAAGTAAAGAAAAATGCCAAAAATTTTAACGAATTTCCCCAAGCTTCTACAGATTTCTATAAAGTTTGATGAAGTTCTACTAAATAATTGGTATTGCTACGAAGATCACTTGATTAATATGAAGATCGCTGAGCTTTTACAAAAATAGCTGAACTCCTATTAAATTTGATGCATTTCTAGAAAATCTCCAGAACTTTTAACGCATTTCCTGCAGTTCTAAAATGTTATCTAAGGGGCTATGGAATGTCTGAAGCTTTTTGAGGTTTCCTGAAGTTATATAGCATACCCTAAAGCTTTAAAAAGTTTTCCAACATTTTACGAAGTTCTCTGAAATCAATATCTTAAGTCATAGCTTCTTGGAATTTTCATTTATTTCCAAGAACTTCTGTAAAAACTCAGTTTAAAAAATCTGAAAGAGTGTACATCTTTCGCCATCAGGAATTTTTTAATGTAGAAAAGAAGATATGTTGTCGATCCCCCCATACTACCGCTAATTTATGGTTTATGTCTTGTCAACTAGCGCCATCCGCCCCCCTCCCTTCCCCCTATCCCAACATCCTAGTTACGCCTATGGTTTGAGCCTCCGAATAATTATGAAACATATCCTTAGCCAAAAGTCTTGTCCACTTAGAATCCGGACACTTTATTTATTCTATAGCAGTGCCTCTAGTGGTCGAATTTGGAATGTTTTGACAGCAATTTGTTTTGAAAGTGAACGTGTTTCAGTGCTGAATGTTTCGGTTGGAAGGAACTTCTACACCTGCCCTTGGTGGGGCCCTGTCTCATTCAGCATACAACATCAATCTGTCAGCTGGCTCCGACCATCACGATGGATTGGACACCTAGGATATAGATCTACCCGTCGACCAGAGTGGCAGTCACCGTCGCGATGACACTAGCTCCACAATCACAGCGCGCTCGTACCCCACTCCTGCCTTGCCTAAGCCAGTAAACTTCATCCTGCAGTGGAACATTAACGGGTTCCTGAACCACATTGGTGATCTAGAGCTCCTTTGCCACGACGATCCCCCCTGGGTCATCGCAATCCAGGACACTAACAAAGCGACAACAGACCAAATGAACCGCTCTCTAGGCGGTAAGTATACGTGGACAGCAAAACGGGGAAACAACTTCCGGCACTCCGTGGCCATCGGGGTTTTGAAGACGATACCTTTCCAGGTTGTCGATATGGACTCCGAGCTTCCCATACTTGGTGTCCAGCTGGCGGCACCGGCGAACATCTCCGTCGCATGTGCATACCTGCCATGTGGACGGCTGCCAAACCTGCACGATCAACTCAGCGAAGCCATAGCTAAACTACCGGAACCGCGCATCCTGGTTGGGGATCTGAACGGGCACCACCCAAGCTGGGGCTGCCCCCGCTCCGACCCTCGAGGTGTTACCCTGGTCGATATTTTCGAGAAGGAAGACACATGGTGATTCTGAATGACGGTGTGCCCACGTACTTTAACGGGCGGCATACTTCTGCCATCGACGTCTCTGCTGTCAGCCGCTGCTTTGAGCTTGAGCTTGAGCTTGAGCTTGAGTTTGAGCTTGATTGACCGCCCACGGTTGCTACTCTGTTATTGCCAGATCAGCTGTAACTACACAGAGAACCAATAGACGATGCTTGGGACTAGCAATCATCCTCAATGTGTAAAAACTGGTGATCTTAAATTAGGCAATACCAGCGCCGGCCGCGCCCGAACACAGGTCAAGAAAGGAATGGGAAGGATTGTGTTGACATGACACTCGCTTTGATGGAAGCCGAGAACACCTCTGCACTTCCACGAGGAATCACTGGGATGTTGGATAAGAGGGTTGGGTTTGCAGCAGGGTTCGTTTTGGTAAACGATAAGCTGAATTGATGTCCTAACGATCATATAACGCGAAGGAGCTTGGGACTAAACCCACGGTCTTCTGCTCAGTAAGCAAAAACGTTTGCCACTAGGCAGACGAGCACCTTTTTAATCACCGAGTTGCTGTTATTACCATGTAGTCATATTAACAAATAAAACGATTGACGAATCTTGAATGTGGATGGGCCTGAGATTAGACTCATGATGTTCTGCTCAGTAAGCAAAAACGGTTGCTCTAAGGCCACCGAGCCCCTCATATCACATAATACCGTTGCTCAAATTTGTGTATCCATTCAAACCCGGAACCAAAGACAACAACGAGTTTCGCAAAATACACGATACACAAGCGATTTTACCATAAATCTCTTTGATATGTAAGGACCTGGGACCGCGTTTTTCTGCTCAGTAAGCAGGCCACTGTAACCGACGATCTTTCAAGTCCGAAAACTAAAAACTACGAAAAAGTACTTAGGCCTTCATTAAGTTCCACTTTCACGCGACGTTCAATGTTTCAATTTACTCTTTACGTATTATTCAGGCTATAAATGGGCCCTTTACTCTGCTGTCAGCCGCTGCTTTGCCGGAAAAACTCAGTGGAGCGCGAACACGGATCTCTATGGTAGTGACCACTACCCCATCAAAGTTCAATTTTCGACCGCCATCTTACCTATGACAACACGGAGGCCCCGATGGCGCTATGAACAAGCGGACTGGGATAGCAATGGTGAAGCCTTTCAGTCCTTGTTACTACAGCGTAATCCGAACAGCATTGAAGACTTTTCAGAAGTGGTATACGAAGCAGCAACAGCAACCATCCCAAAGACCAGCAGCGTTCCGGGGCGAAAAGCGCTACGCTGGTGGAATGAAGATACGAGGAAAGCCGTTAAAGCCCGGCGTAAAGCACTTCGCCGTGTAAAGCGCCTTCCTATCGGACATCCCGATCGCGAGGACGCTCTCCGTCACTACCATGAGTCGCACAATCAATGCCGGCAAGAAATCCGTGTCGCCAAACGAACCAGCTGGATGGACTTTCTGGAAGGAATGAATTCGTCACAGTCTTCGGCCGACTTATGGAGGCAAGTCAACGCCCTCAGTGGGAAACGGCGCATGACACCGCTCTACGTACAGATTAACGGTGAAGCTGTTTCTGACCCTGCAATAGTAGCGAACGAACTCGGCTCGTACTTTGCCGATCTCGCAGCCATCGAGAAGTACGAAGACAAATTCAAGCGGAAAGCTAAGCCTTCGACGTCATGCATTGCAAGTTTTTCTGTTTCTTCTGACGCTGGAAACTCGGAT